GCCCATTGCTACCCAAGTATTGGCCACCATCGTCTTTTTTTCTGATGCCGCAGCCTCCAAGCCGGGCTCCAGGCAGCCAGTGTTGTCTCATTCACACCTGAAACTGGCTGTGCCGTGTGACTCATTGCGGTCAGTGAAATACAAGCAGAAGTTCCTAGGTGGAATGTCCAGGACAGCTCTTTAGAAATGGGGCAGGCACACGGCACTGGCTTTTCTTTCCTTCTCCCAGTTGCTTCCCGCCTGAGATAGGGGTGTGATGGCTGGAGCTCCAGGAATTATTAGGGTACAAGAGACATCTTTGAAGATGAAAGCCCTCTGCTGATGGTAATGAAGACTATAGAAAGGTTCTGGGTCCCTGGTGACCATAGCACCACTGTAACAATCCTGGGCTATAATAGCAGTCATACTCTGGCCCTAGGAAGCTCCAAATTCAGATTTCTGCTTCAGATTGGAAAGGTGTGAAGGAATGATGCCGAGATCTGGAAGGCGGACCTTAGAAAGCACAGCTGACCCAGTGAGGCAGTTCAATCACGCGCTGCCTCTGGGTTCCCTCTTTTAGCCTTGTGCTCAAAGCCGGGATGCATGGGTGGCTGGAGCTGAGCATGGGGTGGAGGAGGCTTTCGGGGTCCTTGACTCACATGGCTTCGTATTTGGGAGGTTCATCAATAGCATGCACACAAGAATATTTGCAATAGCAAGATTATTAGGGACCCCGGGACATGCCAGGAAGAGACCAATTAAAAAATCAAGATGGGGCCGTACCAGGGATTGCTCTGCAGCCATTAAGAAGACTGCAGTGGCTCTGTTTGTTGTCACACGGAAATTTCTCCAAGAAATATAGTAACGGGGGAAATGAAGATGAAGGGCAGTGTGTATAGAGTCACTCTCACTATATAGCTCCACTGATATGCCAAGGTTTGTTTATATCTCTGGGCATCAGCAAATGATGGTCATGGGCCAAGTACAGCTGGTCTACTTTTGTAAATAAAGTTTTATTGAAACATAGCTGTGCTCATTCATTTAGGTGTGTATGATTGTTTTCCCATTACAATGGTGGAACAGCTGTGGCAGAGTCCATATGACTGCAAAATCGCACATACTCTCTGATCCTTTACAAAAAATATCTGCCAACCTGTGCATATAAAAAGGACTTAGCAGTTACTGCAATTTTTAGGATTTCCCCATCAATCTCATTCAGTGGAGACTTTCCTGTAGCTGTTTAACTGATTTGTTTCTTGCAAATCCAAGTAAGCTGGGTGTGTTGGGGGCACATCTGTAATCTCTGCACTCTGGGAGGCTGAGGCAGGAGGATCTTAAGTTTCAGCCCAGCCTGGACAGCTTGGCAACTTAGCAAGACCCTCTTTCAATGTTAAAAATAAATAAAATTTAAAAAACAATAAAAGGTAGCTTTCAAATCTAGTAAAGCTGGGTGGGTAGTGGATGGAGACCATACTAATATTTGCTAGGCCTCTACTACTTGTAGGAAGAAAAGTTTTCCAGTGTTGCTTCATTTAATCTTTATCACCTGGAGAGCCTGAAAATTGGATGGATGAATGGTGTGAGCTGGAGTTCAAACCCAGCACTGTGTAACTCCAAAGCACGCGCTCCTTCTACCTCCACTTCCTGGTCTCTGTCTACCATGAGACAAGATCATGGACCAATACAGACACACACACACACACACACCCATGTTTGCACCTCAGAGTCCTAGTCTATTTCTGGGTGTGATTATTCTTGGCAACCACTTTCTGTCTTGAGCATCTGAGTTTGGACCATACACTTTATGGCTCTCCAACTACAATTTACAGAGAGGCCCAAGTCAGCTCACTAAGAGCAGAGACCTTTGACCCCTCAGAGCTAGTCTAGTTCTGGGTGTGATTATTCTTGGCAACCACTTTCTGTCTTGAGCATCTGAGTTTGGACCATACACTTTATGGCTCTCCAACTACAATTTACAGAGAGGCCCAAGTCAGCTCACTAAGAGCAGAGACCTTTGTGTATTTCCCCCGAGTGTGTTCAAAGCTCCTAGAGCAGTAGGGGATCAGCCTGTATTTGCCGAGCCAGTGTGTGTTGAATGAATTCTCTGTGACACACAGAGACTAGGCTTAGGGGAAGAAAAGCCACACAGTGTGAGGAAGTCTGTTCTGTTACAACTCCGAACACACAGGGGTGCCTGTCTGCCTGCCCTGTTCCTTGGTGTGGTTACAGCTGGCTGTGCCTGGTTTAGATTTGTGTTTTTTCCTCATGCATGTTTCATATTGGGTATGGTACCGATGGGGCGCGGCCACTTCCCAGAGGAATAAGGTCGGGATTGTTCAAAGCCCCTGCTAGAGTTTAGATCCACACTTGCTCCCGGAGGCCCCCGTGTTAAAGGCTTGGTCCCCAGGTTATGGTACATTGAGGGGTGGTGGAAACTTTAAGAGGCAGGGCTTAGTGTGAGGTCTTCGGGGTTATTGTGGGGTTATTATGGGCGTGTCCTCGAAGGGGACAGTGGAACCCTAGCTCCTCCCTCTTCTCTTTTGCTCCCCTCTGTGCTCTCTGCCATGATATGCTGCTTCTGTAGACCTAAAGCAACTGACCATGGACTGAAGCTTCCTAACCTGTGAGCTAAAATAAGCCACTTGCCTTTTGAGTTAATCACCTCAGGTATTTTGTAACAGTATGGAAAATGGACTAACAGTGCCTCCCAAAGGAAGCCAATGCTGGGTCCTTCAGTCAGGGTCACAAATGAAGAATATCAAATGGATCCCCAGGAGGCTTTGCCCACAAGAAAAGAGGTAGATTATGCGCTCAGCACAGTCGTGAGACGAGGGCAGGGCTGCTAATCCATCCCTTTTAAGCACCTAGTATGTCGTGGGCCACTTCCAGCTGCAAAAGAAAGCCTGACCTTTACAAAGGGCTATAAAAAGATGGTGAATTCACTCCTTCTCGCCTCACAGTGTGGCTTCCCCCTGACAAAGGAGGAAAGATGAAGGGCTTTTGTGTTCAATGCCAGGTACACAAAGGCAGCTCTGTTGTCAAGCGAATGGCCTCAGCACCATCATCATTAGCCTCAGGGCAGCCTGACGCAGCCACCCGGACCCTAGCAGTGTCGCTGTGGGCAAGGAGGGACACCTCGTTCACACCAGCCCCGCAGTGCAATCAGGCAGCAGGGAGGAGATCTAGAAAGGTCATGAGCATGGAGAGTAAGGAGTCTGGGGTCATGGCTGATGTTAGCGCTGGAGGATTTTGAAATCACAGTGACGTGTGTGTTGGATTCCAACAGATAAAGGGTGCTGTACTGTCCAGCGACGGGGTTTGAAAGTGAAATTGACTTGCACGTTCCAAAGGAAGGCGGAGGTTTCAGAGCAAGTAAGAGACCTGCTCCACTGCCTTCCAGCACAGGGATGGGGTGGGGGAGGCTGGCAGTCAGCAAGCATGGCAAAAAGCATGCACTGTAACAGAACCCTTGAAAGAACCCTTACTTTCCCTAGAAAGCACACGGCTGCACTGCCTCCAGCTTACTTGTCCCTACCCTGGAGCACAACAGCTTCTCCTGTAGAGGTCAGTGAAGTTATTTCCAAGGACCCCGTTGAAGAAAAATAGAATCTCCAAACATTAGTTATGGTATCAGTAACAAATACTTGAGATAAGCAACTTAGAAAGGGCTTCTTTTTAGCTAACAATTTATTTATTGTTTTTTGACACAGGGTCTGGCTGTGTAGTTCAGGCTGGCCTCCCACTCACTAGGTAGCCCAGGCTGGCCTTGAACTCACAGTCATGTTCCTGCCTCTGCCTCCTAAGTGCTAGGATTACAGGTGTGTGTGTCATAAGGCCTGTCTGGCTAACAGTTTTAGAGGTTTCAGACCAGGACCTGTTGGCCCCATTGCTTTGGGCCTCTGTGGACCTCATGGTGGGAGTGTGGCAGGGCAAATCCCCTCACCTCAGAGCTGGGAAGTACACACACCATCACCACCACCTCCTAAAAACTTCTGCCGGCTCCCAGTAGCACCAAGCTGGGGGCCGAGCCTTTAACACTCGGACCTTTGGGGGACCCTGCAGTCCCAGCCAGAGGAGTCAGACCCCCATTGGTGGGATTTGGGATGGACCGAAGGACGTCAGCCCAGTCCTGCTCCCACTCACCGTGAGGCTCGTGCTCCGGCATCCGTGTAGACAGGCTCCCTGGGGATGTTTGTGTCGGGACTCTCGGATCTCCTTCCGCACTCTCTCCTTTCCTTGCCCCCTTCCTGCCCTGTGCTTGTACTTGGAATCACATACATTAAAAGTGCTCTGGGGTGACAGTCCTATGCAAACAGTTGCCACCTTGTGAACTTGAGCTAGTCACAGGCAGTAGAATACCCTTTCTCAATGCTGGGCAGAGCGCTGCAGCTCCCAGCCAGTCCCAGGGTCACAAAGGTGGACAGCTGAGATTCTGCAGTGTACCGTGCAGGATTCAATTAACTACGAGAGATATTTGATACTTTATCATAACACGGGCTTGTGTTAGATGACTTTGCCCAAGTGTAGGCCAACATAAGTGCTCAGCATCTCTATTGGAAGCCAGTCACAGCTGTGATGTTCTGGGGGTCGGGTGCATTTGGTACATTTAGCTTCCAGTATTTTCAGCTGAAGATGTTTTTATTACGGGGTGTGACCCTTTGTGCGTAGAGGAACATTGGTATTCTAGGCCTCACCAGTCTCCATCCATTTCCACGCCCTCTGCTTCCATTTGCAAGTGCAGTCTCTGGAAGGCTCATATAGACAAATTGCCAATCTGTAAACACTGCACTTTGATCCTCATGGGAAAACAGCCTGTGGAGAGATTAAGACTTCACCTGCTGTTGTTATCTTGTGATGGTGGGGATTGCACCCACGGGCTCAAGCATGCTAGGCAAGTGCTGTACCAGAGCTGCACCTCAGCCCAACCTGTTCATTATTACATCGGTGTGTGACTCCTTTCCTGGTGTCTATTCTGAAAGCTCTGCAGCCATAGGCCACCTCTGGGTGAAGCCCAGAATCAGAGCTGTCTTTTTCACTTACCTTCTCCTTACTCCCGTCTCCTGTCTGCAGGAGAATCATTTATTTCATTAGGAGGCTAACAAAGGATGGGCTGGGAGCTCAGTAACATTCCAAGGACCACATCCGGTGATGGAGAATGGCTTCTGGGTGGCTGGGCTTTGCGACGCTGTGGGTCTCTGAGGAAGGGGGCCCGAGGTGTCCTGAAGGCTCCACCAGTGGGAGCAGCCACTTCGGGTGTGGCTCGCCATCCGTGCAACAAGTCCCTGCCGGTAGTTGGCGGGAAGCCTCAGTTCAGCCAACACCCTACCATGCAGCCACATCCCCAGCCCCACTGATTTAAATGACAGTTATCCATGGCTTCACAATGGAATTATGTTCTGAGAATTACATCGTTAGGTGATTGTGTCATTGGGTGACCACCAGCGTGGGCTTACGCAGACCAAGGCGGCGGGGATGCGGGCGGGCAATGCGGAACCACTGTCGTGGCTGCAGTCCATTGCTGAGCACTACGCTGTTATGTGACACGTGACTAGGTGGTTATTCAGCAACATACAAATGAATGCACGGACATGGAGGGAGAAGGCTCCAAATGGGGTGGATCGTCTTATACATCCCTTTGCTCTGCACTGTGTCTCATTGTGAGGCTCTTGCTGCACCAAGCACTTAAAATACTGTGTTAGTGTTTCGTGTTGTTATAATTAAGTACCCGGTGCTGGGTCATGTATGAAGGAAAGAGGTTTTCTTAGCCCAGCATTCCAGAGGTCCAAGGGTGTGGTGCCAGCATCTGTTCTGCTCTAGTGAGGGCTGTTGACAGCATCCTAAAGTAGGAATAAAGAGAGAGAGAGAGGTCACACGGCAAGACAGGAAGCAAGAGCCCAGGGAGTGGCCAGCTGGCCCGCTCTCCAGGACGTTAGTCCTTTCCTAGGAAGCCTGCCCCATTCCAACAGTAATCCACTCCCAAGGCTGGACCCATGGTTGTGTGTTACACCTAGAATGTCCCCCGGGAGGCTCACGTGTTCACAGGCTGGGCTCTCGGGAGGTGACTGGATCATGGAGATGCCGTGCTCACCCGTGGATTCGTCCCAGGAGGAGTTCTGAGCTGAATGAGGTGTTAGGGGGTACGGCCCGGTCCCAGAGGCCAGCCACTGGCGGTGTGACTTGGGAGGCAGTGTCTTCGCTCCTGCTTTCTCCCTTCTCTCTCTGCTTCCTGGCTACCATGATGTGAACCGCTGTCCCCGGCCCGGGCCCTTCCACTGCACGCCTCTGCTGTCCACTTGCTGCCTTGGAGCCAGCCGAGTAGGGGCTGAGCATCTACACAGTGGGTGAATGTTGTTCACTCAGCTTAGCTGAGTTGCTCATGATACTTTGGTTTTGATGTTGGAGAAGAATCTGACTTCCACACGTAGTGGGAGGTGAAACACCCGTGCTTAAGAGCATGGCAAGCCCTTAAGAGAATTTAAGTGGGATTTTTTTTTTCCTTTTTGACCATATATTTAGTTTTTTCCAAACACAAAGAGAAATTTAAAGACTCGCACGTTGAATACCCATATACCCACCACCTGGATTCTACCGTTAATGCCTAATTTCACCGTCTTTCTCCTTCTGAACTTCCTTCTCTCCCTTCACCAACACATCTTACTTTTTGATGCAGTTCCAAATCAATTCCTGAGGTCAGCATACTTCACCCTGCACATCACTCACTAGAATCCAAAATGAGTTTTCTGAAGTAAAATTTAGATACAGTGAAACGCACAAACCGGGATGTGGACCATTCGGTGAGTCTTGATGAATGTGTGACCCGGACTCTCACCCTGACATAGCAAGCATATTCCAAACCAAATGCAATTTTCTTTTTCTAAGTGCTGGCTTTGAAATGTTTTTGCCCTGTGAGATAAGACTCCATTGTAAATTGAGGTTTATGAAAGATTCCCTTCATATATCTTACTTGGCCCTTTTCACTGCAGACCTTGAAAAGCAGCAAAGAGGAGCCCAGGAAATCAGAAACAACTGACTTGAGGTGATTAAAGCTATGAGCATGGGAGGCATGGGTTTGAATCCCAACTTTGCCAATTTCTGGGGGTATAATCTTAGGCAATGAATATAGCCTGTCTGTGCCTCAGTTTCCCCACCTATAAAATAGGGATAAAACCAAAACCTACCTCATATGATTATCTTGTGTCAAGTCACTTGAAGTGCCTACTTAGAACACACTCTGTCACCTAGGAGATGCTCAAGACTGGTAGCCCTTGTCCCAGGAGACAGCGCACAGGGGACTCATATCTTACCCAAGTGCTAACTGTGTAGACAGTGACTTTCTGGACCCCATGACTGCATGTCCCACTCACTTCTGGGTCTCTTTGGCCCTGTGGCCCTGCGGCCCTGCTGGTCCTCCAGCAGATATTTATTTAATGACTGTCAAAAATCTCACTGTGACATCACCAGTCAGTGTCAGCAGGAAGTCAGTGTCCAGAAAATGACCCGAGCTGGAAGAGCTAGAGCAGGTGGGGGATCGAGTTGTTAGTCTCTAATTGTGTGGGGTGTATACCGAAAATTTCACGGCCTTGAATTTAATAGCAACCCTTTTATTGGCACTAAATTTCATTACAGACTCATTAGCTCTCTTTTGCTCCTTCATCTCTGCCAGACCAAAGCCTTTCTTTGAGTGATGTTGAGTTCATTATTCATGACTCATAAAAACAGTGGCCTCTAAAATGGAGACCAGCAAAGAGCATTTTCTAAGGAAAAGTGCCTTCTTGAAGAAGGGCTACTTTGCTGGACTTCTGAAATAAGATTCACTCATTCTATCATTCAAGCAGGTATTTGATGATTAGTAATTAAGTGCCTATAAGACAGACATGGTCACTGCCCTCAGAACAAATCTACAATATATTTGGAAACACAAACATTTCATTAGTAATTGCACAAATAATTAATGACAACTAGGATTGAACTGATACAGCAGCAGCCCATGGAGCAGATACTGTTAGTTACCCACTGTGGTGAACCCTAAAGATTATCCTCCAATATTCACACTGCTTCTCTTTCATAATAATAAAACATAGTTTAGCAAGCTATATGGAATTTAGGGTACTATTGTACTATTTCCCAGCTTCCTTTGCTGTTACTTGTAGTCATGTGACTAAGTGGGGGAACGTCTGCAAAGGTTTTCTTCTTAAATGGAGGCCTGAGAGGCAGACAACCACCTCTCTATAGCACCAGGTACAGTGCTAGGTCCATTTTTCTGATGGATGTTGCAGTACCTAGAGGTTTTGGAACCATGGCAGCCAATATTCAGGAGGAGAACAAGTTAATGATGGAACAGAAAGATGGAAGGATTCTGACAGCACTGTAAAGCCACCAAATTAAACCAGCCTGGATCCACCCCACTCTCAGACAGGTCATCCCGTGTACAGCCAAACACGTCCTAATCAGGCATCCTGATACATACATAAGCTCTCCATTTTCATCCCTTGACATTTCTCCCTGTGTTTCAAACCTACTGAAATCCAAACCATGCTCCCTTATTTCTTCGGGGCTACACACAATGCACAAAGGGACTCCTGCACTTCCCTTCACTGTCCCTTTTATCTGGAAAATACCAGTCCATCCTACAAGGTCAGCTTAGCAGACCCTGCTCCAGGAAACCTTTGATACGAGACCAGTTTAGATGCCACCCCAGATTCATTTGAACCCATCTGCACTCCTGGGCCTTGGCTAGTCGCCTTTCTCTACCAGGACACCATAGCAATGGCTTGCTCCATTGCTCAGCTGCAAAGACTCAGAGCTGCCACCCGGTCACAGACCGACGACTTCCTTTGCAAAGCACCAACTGATCGGGAGAATCTGCCTGTGTCTGCACAGATGAGGCTGGAGTTGCAGGGACTCTGGCTTCTCCACAGTGCCCCATGGGCATAATTTGACCAGGTGATGGGCAGGAGCCATCAGTGAAATGGTTTGTTTTTCTCTTCCTGACTGCTTAGATTGGAAGAGGCTTTGTGCAGGCTTTTTGGAGCCTGAGGAACCACCCTGGTCACTGCAAAGCTTCTTTAGGCAAAAATACATTCACAGGCAAGCTGGACCCATGGGTTCTGTTTTCTAGGGAACTGGAAATGTCTCCCCAAGCCCATGTCACCCCTGCCCCCAAGACTAAGTTGCAAGGAAGAAACACCTTCATATGACCTCAGACCCAGCAGGGAATTATAAAGACAGTGGGCATCACGTGCTCACTCAAACCGGAAGGAGATGGAAAGGTCATCATGCCCCACAGAAGCTTTCATGTGTCCACACCATTTTTGGAGTCAACCTCTCCCTCTCTGATTAACTCCCTGGCAGATTAACTAATGGTCAACTTGGAAGGCCCAGCTGAACTGAACCAGCATGGTCTGGGCATGGAAAACCCATGTGAGGATTATTGCCAAAGGTGTAAAAGAGACCTGAAGGGGAAGATCATTGGCTGTTGATTTTCTTGGAGAAGCTCGTGATTGGTTTTCCTGATGGGAGCCTGGCTATTCTCTCATTTGAGGAGGAGCTTGGGTCCTTGCTGTTGCTGGGATTAGCTGCTGTTCTCATCAGGGGAGCTCTGATCTTCACCGTGAGCATAACTTCCTGGCTCCAGTGTGGATCCCTAAGCTTGGTGGCACAGATCCTTCACCTTACTGGCACAGGCTTCTTAGCTTCCTCTGCTGGCCTTCAGGCCTTCCCAGTGCAGATCCTTGATATGAACCAACATGAGATATTGCCGTGGGCTCCAGGCCTCTGGCTGGACTTGTGGAGGACACTGTCTTGGGCTCTAGGCCTTCAGCTGAACTTGTGTGGGATCCAGGCCCTCGGCTGGATTCTTTGGGTCTCTGGTGTGCGGCTAGATCTCTTACACTCCTCTGCAATTGACTTTTTGGGTGACTATTATAAAATAGTCCTATAAATTATACACCCTATATTAACCCTATTTCCCTTACACACCCTGACTACAGCACTGTCCTAGCAGCTTCCCCCTCTCCTCTGACCTACCACGGTTTCCATGGCATTGAGGCCTTTGCCATGTCATACCTTCTGCTGACTTCTGCTTTGTTCCAAATTCTGCCTTTTCCAGACTCTCAAGAGAGAAAACTGACCTGGGCCCCTTGGTCATCATCCATTATCGGGTGAAGCTGTTAGTAGAATTAAGGGTCAGGCCCTCTTGTTACTGAGAGTCCAGTCACTTAAGAGTATTTTTAAATATCTGCATCAACTTGACGGGTGCTTTATGGATACTGAGCCATAAAACAATGGGCTCACATCCCTGAGTGGGTGTCTGAGGGCTGCACACGGCCTGAGCTGCAGAACAGTCCTGCATAGTAGCACCGACAGGAAATTAAAAACACAAGCAAACATCAGCAGATCATTTCTCACAGCTCATTTGAGAAGACTCTGGGAAGTGGAGGGGAGGAAGCTGAGCCGAACTTCCAGAAAGGTCTGAGTCAGGACTCCCTGCCCTGACCCCACTGCCAGCCCCACTAGCAAAGCAGCTTCTGGGGGGTGTCCCCGCTGCCGGTGGTCCCACTGTGCCAGGCTGCCTGGCCCCTGCTGAAGAGGATACTCCTGGGAGAGGGCAGGAGTGAAGAGTTGGCTGGTGCAGCCACAGCGTCCAGTTACAGACCTCAGACTTTACAACAGCAGCCCCTGCATCCTGTTCGCCACAGGCTCCTCAACCACCAGCACATTTTGTTTCCGTTGCCTGCAGCAACTTCCCTAAATTTCTTCTGGCCAAACTCCTGATCGATCACTCATTCAATAAACCTATAAAGTACCAGGTATAGCACAGGTTACCCGGGAGACCAAGATGAATATGGCAAAGCTCCTGCCTTCAAGAACCTCATCCCCTAATGAGGGAGATGGACACGGACAGAAATTCTCTTACCTTCCCAGATGCTCCTGTGTTCTCTTCTAAGACCCTTGCCAATGTGAAGCCAAGTGAACATAGGACTAAGTGAACTGAGGACCCAGCCCCAGCTGTGTGACTTTGAATATGATCATTGGCTTCTTCCAGCCTCACTTGCCCCAAATGTGAAGTGGTTTTAATGACAGCACCCACCTTGCTGGTGTGTTTTAAGTATCCCACGAGATGCCACATGGGAAGCCCTGTGGGAGGCATGTGACACACATGAAGTAGATAGTCCTTTCCGCACAGCCTCCTCATGAGCCCTGCTTTGTCCTCCCGTGGAAAATGGCCACTTCTTTCTCTTCGGTACTGGGGATCGAACTCAGGACCTTGCGCTTGCAAGGCAGGTGTGGTGCCACTGAGCTAAATCCCTGGCTGGTTACTTCTTTCTCTTTTCCTTTCCTAAGTATCCTCATTCTCCTCCCTTGGGTCAGACACATTGGGAGTATATATTTGCAGAACTATTACAAACAATACAAGTGGCCTCTATCAAATATTACTCATTAAAGGGTATTTTCAATAAAATAATTATTAAACATCTGAGATACAGTGGTTGGATTTTTCAGTCCACCTCCACACTACATACCTCTTTATTCTGTAAGCTCAGAGCACCCTGTTTCCCTTCACACTCCTCTCTGCTTAGCACCTGGGAAGAACTCCCAAATATGGGTAAACAGTGGAGGAATAAATGAACTTGAATTTGCTTTGACACATTTCCAAGTGCCAAGTTCTTAGGCTTGTACCATGACCCCTTCAGAGAAAATGAGCTAAGGAAACCGATTACAGGGAGCACTAGTCAGTGACATGTCAGACACTTAGCCAGGTGGGATGGGTCATGCATCCCTGGAAAAAGAAAATATATGTCCATGTCCTAATCCTACAACCTGTGAGTGTGGCCTTCTATGGAAAACAGAATTGCGGGCATCATTGGATTAAGGATCTTTGCGTTATGACTCTTTAAATTAAGGATCATCAGATGAGATCGTAGGATTACCCAGGCTAACTCTAAGTTTGATGACAGGAGTCTGTCTATGAAACAGAAAAGGAGACAGAGTCCCAGAGAAGTCCACATGAGGATACAGGCGAGGCTGGTGTGAGGTAGGAAGAGGAAAGGAAGGGTCCTCTCCCAGAGCCTTCAGAGAGGCCACAGCTCTGGCCATACCTTGATTTCAGATTTCTGTTCCTGAGAACTGTAAATGGATTCGCTTCTGTTGTTTGAAGACACCCGCTTCACGGTCACTTGTTACAGCAGCCATGGGTAGTTAATAAGTGCAGTGGGCACAGCCTCTCGCCGCATGACGTTTGCTTGCCCGTGGATCCCACACAAGCCAGTTGTCCTGTGAGCCCACAGCCTAGTGGTGCCACGGCCCCCAGCTTGTGTAAGGACACTCTGATGCTCCTACCATGAAAACGCTTAACAAGGTGTCGCTCAGAAACCAAACCCGCAAAGCCGTCGTTAAGCAAACGGATGAGTGTATCTCCCCGTCTGTCCTGGGGACTGGCTGTTCATCGGAGAACATGAAAATAGGCAAAAAGTCTCTGCTTCCTTTTATGGCATTTACATCGAGAAAACGACAACAGATGGGTAAATGTACAGGACATAAAATAGACAGTCATCCTGCAGTATTCGAGGGGGACTGGCCTCAGGACCCTCTTGTAGATGCCAATTCTAAGGATGCCCGGGTCCCTTATGTAAAATGGCCTTTGCATAGAACCTCCATAAATCTGGGTATAATCCTGTGAATCATCTCTAGATGACTTGTAATACCTGACACACTGCAAACACAGTGCAGAGACTTGGTGTACTGTAACGCAGACAAGGAAAAAAACTGCCCATTTAACGCACATGCAATTTTTTTCCAAATGTGTTCAATACCCAGTTCATTGAACCCGTGGCTATGGAGGTCCAACTATAATGTGCCAGAAGTTGGGAAATGTTTCGAAGAAAAGTAAAATGGGTATAGGAAGAGAGAGTGATAGGAGCTGCTGTTTTGCAGCAGAGTAGGGTAAGAAAAACTTCACTGATAGGATGATCCTGAACAGAGATGGGAAGGAGGGAAGGGGCTGAGCTCTGAGTGTGTCGGGGAAAGAGTCTAAGACAAAGGAGCAGCAGGGACAAAGGCAGGTGTGTGCTTGGGCTGTAGAAGCAACAGGAAGATGGTGCAAAGTGAGTGAGAAGCAGAGTGCAGGAGGAGGACCCTGTGGACCAAGGGGAGGACTGTGGATTCTGCTTGGTGCCAACAGGAAGCGTGTAGGGTTTTTGAACGGAGAAGCTGTACAATCTGTAGGCTTTGGAAAGATCGCTCTGGTTGCTGGGTAAAGAAGAGATTGTGGGGGTCACAAGTGGAAGCAGAGAGACAGAGAGGAGACGGTTACAATAGCACAGCTGCAGGGTGAAGTTATGTACCCTCCTGATGCTTGGTTGACAGACAGCCTTCCTCCACAGAGAAGGACCATTTCCTTGGTCGAGAGTGTGTGAGTAGCTGTGCTGTGTTGAGAGCATTTCTACATCAATTCTGGGGAAAATCATTCCACGATTAAAGTACGACTATAGCTATCTAAAGCCCAATGTTGCCTTGACCATGAGTTGGCTATGGCAGGTGGAAACAGAACTCTGTTTTGCCTCTGGTTACAGGTGAGGCCCCAATGATCTGTGATGTTGTGGCACTCAAAGGCGAGGTAACATCAGCCAAAGACATCCTGGTTCTTTGAGAACCGAGTAGTAATACACAAGAAAGGTTTCACTGGAAGGGACAAGTTCCTTGTCAGCTTAACTCATCCCACCCCCTGTCCTGGGAATGCTCGCCCTCATCAGCATGAGATTTGCATCGACACAGGAGACCGATAATTGTGTGTATCCAATAAATGCTGGCTAGGATGTCGAGTCTGGGTCTTTGCCCGCTCTGAGGCCCTGACCTCCCGGCCATCCATAGACTTTGAAATCATGCAAGTCTCTGTTATTCTTTAGCCCTCGCTGTCCCCCTTTCCAGGCAGCTGGAGGATCCATGGGCCTCCAATAGGTACTGCCCTTCTAGAACCTTTAAACAAGTCCAAAATAGCAGTTTATTTTTCACATCCACAGTTGGGCAGGTGGCCTGCTGCAACTTTCCGGCTCGGCAGTCCTGAGGACCTGTGCTCTTTCTACACTGTTGCTTGTCTTAGTCACTTGCTCGTCACAGAGGCATAATATCTGGCAGTCGTGACTCTGAAAGGGGGAGGTTTATTTTGGCTCCCATTCCAGAAGTTTCCATCCATGGTTGGCAGGCTCAAACTCAGAAACAGCACGGTGGAAGGGCCTGCCATGGAGAAAAGCTGCCAACACTGTGGTGTCCAGGAGGCAGAGAGAGGGAAGGAGGAGCTGAGGAGGGGAGATAAACTCTTCCAGGCCATGCCCCCGATGACCTGCATCTTCTGCCAGATCCCACTTCCTAATATCACATTCAGGTACAGCTCCTCGTGAACTCATCCCAGCTCTGAGAATGGGCTTATATTCTTGGTCAGGAGGAGACAAAGGTTTTTGTTTTGTTTTGTTTTCAATGAGTAGATTCTTGATCTAAACCACAGCATTACTCCACTGTGTTCCACGGCAGGGGTCGGTAAACTATGGATTATAGGCAAACTATAGCATCTGTGTTTGTACGACCCTCAAGCTGAGAACTTTTTTTTTTTACCGTTTTGAATAATTGAAAAAAAAAATCAGAAGAATTCTATTTCATGGCACATGAAAAATTCATGAAATTCAAACGTGTTGTCGGTAGCCCCGACAAGGATTCAATCACGTCCGTGCAAAGCGTGTTTAAACTCCAATTCCCAATTTCTGTGTGTGTGACCTTGTTTGGAAATAGGGTCTTTGCAGAGGTAACCAAGTTAAAATGAAGTCACGTTGGTTAGGGTGGGCCCTACGTTCAACGACTGGCATCATCATAAAAAGGGGGCAGGGGTATTGGAATCCAGAGGCCCCAGGACTTCTCACAGGGAAGACTATGAAAAGATGACATAGAGCTCAGAATGTCACAGCCACAAGCCAAGGAAGGCCAGGGATTGTCAGCCATCCAGGACCCAGGAAGAAGCAAGGCACGGCTCTGATCTGGGGCCTTCAGAGGGAGCACAACCTTGCTGTCCATTTGCTTTTGACCTTCCGGGCTTCAGAACTGCAAGAAAGTGCATTTATGTTGTTTACAGCCACCCAGCTTGCAGTACTTTGTTATGGTGGCCCAAAAATACCAGGTAGGACTGCTCGGGAGCCTCACAAGCAAACCTGAGTAGTTGTAGAGATTGTACGGCCCATAAGCCTACAGGATTTTCTCTGTGGCTCTTTACCTCTGATCTAGAGCACTGGCCTAGTTTTTATGGCAAGACATCTGCAGAAGAAAAAAACTACCCACCTGTTAGCATTGCCCTCATTTTAGATGTGCTATGTTGGTTAATCCTGATTGGCAAGTTGGCTGAATTAAGAGGCTGCTGGAGAAATTATCAGACCATGAGGGCACTAACCTCATGGCCAAATGGACTATCAGGAGGTGAGGCCTACTTGGAGGAAGTGGGCCATGTAGGTGTGACTTTGGTGACTAGGTCTGGGGATGCTGGGGACCAGACCTAGTCTGCTCTGCTCTTCCTGTTCTCTGCTTCCTGGATGCCATGAGTTGAGCATCTTTCCGCAGTCATACCTTTCTGTGTATTTCTGCCTTGGAGTTAGCTAACCACGCACTGAAACCGCTGAACCCATGAGCCAAAAATAAACCTCCCACCCTGTAAGTTGTATGTATCAGGGGTACTGTCCCAGCAACAGAAAAGCTGACCAGCACAGATTGGGAGGTTGAATCAAAACAAGGTCATCTGTCCTTTGCACATGACAAAATATCCCATCCCTGTTCTTCTACCCACAGCACCATTACTTTCCTTGGGGGCTGGAAGGAGCATGGGCACTCTCTGTACAGTCCCCACAGTTGAGGAAGGAAGCAGTAGAAGGAAACAGAGCTAAGTGCTGGAGGAAAAACAGGTACTTATAGCACTGTAGCACCTAGATCCAGCTGTACCTGAAATATACGCCCTGCAGACTTTTTAGTTAACGTGATAGCGTAGTTCTACTTGAGTTTCTGTTGCTTGCAACCTGAAAAATCCTGATGAATAGACTAACAGTAGTGGAGATGGGATCTGAAGGTAAATCTGCTTACCATTAAATAGCTCAACTCATGGTTTCCTGGGAGTAATCCCAGAGCCACCCTCTGAGTTCTGGGTCCAGATGGCAGCTGGGTTCTTGTATTCTTTAATGCAAATACCCTTGCTCTTAGATAGCAATAGGAGTAAGAAAGGTGCAATGAGTGTGAATAAATAAAGATGATTGTTCAAATAAACCGAGATTATTTCTGGGAGTGCCTGCTGTTATGAAACCTCCCAGAATGGAGGTTTCTGTGTAGCTCCTCACAAAGGACTCAGATCTAAGTCCCGGCAGACAGGGCAGGAGCACCCTCTGGACCCTTTCCCTGGGGATCCGGCCCCCCTGGCTTTTCTGGATGCTTGGGTTCAAGGAACAGCTCTGTCAGGATTGTGTGACTTTGAGGGGGAAGCTGGACCTGCCTGGGCCTCAGTTTCCACCTCTGATATACGGGGGAAAATCATAGCATTTCTTAGCATTAAAAGTGAGTACCGTGTGATGAGAGCACACTGTAAATCAGTTGTGAAAACTGTTATCACTCCCAGGCTCCTCCTTACTCATGTCTCAGACTACAGGATACCCGGGTCACCTTCTCCCACATACAGTTTTGTTTCTTTCATAATTGTCTTGCTATGAGGTCTCCTAATTTAATTTAATTGTGAGACATTGGGGATTGATTTCAGGGCCTTCACAATGAGCTGCATTCCCAGCTCTTTTTTCATTATTATTTTGGGTGTCATTATGTTGCCCAGGCTGGGCTGGAATTTGGAATCCTGCCTCAGCCTCCCAGAGTGCTGGGATTACAGGTGTGGGCCATCATGTTCTGGCTAGATCTTTTCTTTTTAAATTCTCTCCATCTACAAGGCTGTAGGTTTCAGGCAGGGCAGAAGTCTAGTCTATTTGGCCAACTGCTAATTTTCGCAGCACCTCATCTCCGCCGGGCACATAGTAGGGGCTCGATCAGTTCGCGTTTGAGAAAAAAACAAAACGATAGCAGCACAGGGCAGGGGCCCCTTCTGTCCCGGGACTGCCACGCGGCCACGGGGACTCCCCGGGGGTGGAGCTGGGGTGGAGCGAGGCCTGGGCAGTGCGGCTGGAAGCACTTTTCTCCTCCTGTGCAACTTCCCAAAGTAACTTCAGGAGAGGCTCCTCAGGAACGGGGACGAAGCGTGCGGCCGGGCTGCGGCCTCCCAGTTCTGCCCTGGGACTGGGCGGCCCGGAGAAGTAAGTCCCGCCCGTCCGCCCGGCGTCGCTGGGAGG